TCTCTAGTTCTTTCCTAGAGTCTTTTCAAGTGTTACATGTTCTACAGTTTCCACTTCTCCACAGTGTATACATAATCCTGTCTGGTGTTTTCCTATTAATCTTAAGCAACTATTTAAACTTGTGTGTTCTATTCTCAACCCGCCTCAGATTACTATACTTTTTAACTCACTTCTTTCTGAATGCTGTATAAATGTCTTCATCAAAGAAATTGACAACATAGAGGAGGTTTATTTGGACAAACTCTTAAATACATTTTAAATGGAAACAAATACTTTAAAAACATTTTAAACAATTATAAATGTCAATGTATTTAGTTATTTTGCTCTCCCTGTCTTTTCTTTTGCCTTTACCTCTCTTAGCCTTTATTTTATACACATATGCGTATATATTGTATATGTGGGACATAATTTTTACAGTTTTTCTGAATTGCTAAAACACATTTCTTGAAAGCATCACTCTTTCTTAAAACCTTCAACACAAATCCAAATCTTCAAACTTCAATCACAGAACCCCTGGCTCTTCTGGCAATATCAAACACTCACTTAAAAAACATTTAACCTGTAGTCAACATCAAACAAGGCTTTGAAATCATACACATATTAGTTAATACTACATGCACTACAGATCATTCATTAGACACTACATCAACAAATGGAGAACACCGTGTCCGTGCATGTAGTTACAGAAAATGCTTATTGTATATAGTACATATTTTTAAAGAAAACACACACACACACACACACACAAACAAAATATATCACACCTAAGTTTGGTCAATATATCAAAAATGTTTATATACTGCATGTATGTGTGTGTGTATATATATAAAACACCGCTCTGGTGTGGCGGATGCAGCCTTGACAAGAGTCCACTTCTGAGGGACTTGGAATAGTTAAAAGAACAACAAACTCTTCTTACATTTGTTGAGGAAAGTTTGTTCAAAATGCTTATGCACAGTTTTTTAAACTAGGCCTCTATTTCTCAAAACTCTACACAGAAAACCACAAAACACACACACAACATGCAAAACATCACATACATCTTGTAAAAGCAAACACTTCTTTCAAAACTATTTTAATCTTCTAAAATAGTATTTTTGCATATTAACTGTACACACAAACATAAAATAAGCACATACACGCCAAACTACACACACATGTGAAAAAAATTAAAACCCTACTTCCATGTGTCTTTTGCTTGTTCAGAGTGCAGTGAAGAACAGGAGTTAGTCATAGCACTCACACATACTGTACATGCATATGCACATATACACTGTATATGCTGTATGTATGACAGAGGAATTTTACACAGTTATGCAACTGAACTGAATCAATACTCAACTGACATGGGCTGTAGGATTACTCTATTGACTTGTTAAAGCTGCTTTATAGCAGAATATGGATTTGATACTATTTTGAAGCTGCTGTGAAACAATCTATACTGTATAAAGCACTTTAGAAAACTTTCTTGACTTTCTGACTTGGCTTGTATGCATGTTCCATGTTCGATATATATATATATTATTTAGGAGTTCAAAGGTTCAACTTAGGACGAGGGCCTTCTATCTCTGAGGTGGCTCAGTTTGGTCAGTAGTACTCTGTACTATTGACACTTGGCATATTGATGTAGTTCTCCCCATCCAAGTGTATCACTAATATGTCCACAACTTCCTGACTATATCTCCATTTTACATAAGGTATATTTATTTGCTTGTGTACAACATATCTCATATTTTATCTCATTGGTTAGAGGGGTAAAACTCCCCTCAAAAAATGTATCTATATACTATTGTATTAGAGAATAAAAGTTGGAGTAAGGAGAATACCCGTCTCTGTGTTTTCTTGCTCCCCGGATGTAACACTCTGAGAGACTGAGAATATTTCTGGTGGTGACGACAACATAATGGGAACACACACACACATATATATATATATATATATATATATATA